TTTACCTGATCTTTGCCGAACTGACATTTTTCCAGGTTGACGGTAAGCCCTGCCTCTCCGATAGTTCTCAGTACTCCAACTAAATGAGTCATATGCTCCTCCCAGGTCTCAGAGAAAACTGCCACATCATCAAGTTACGCACATGCGTACGCGGAGTGGGCCGCAAGCAGCTAATTCATCACTCGCTGGAAAGTGGCAGAGGACTTACGCAGCCCAAAGGGCATCATTCGCCAGGCATACAGACCCCGAGATATCGCAAATGCAGTGCATGCCTGGGATTCGGGCTCTACAGGAATCTGTCAGTATCCTCGAGTCATATCCAGGACCGAAATGAAGTTCGTCTTGGCTGCCTGCCACAGCAGTTCCGTCGGCGCTCGCATGGAAAATGCATCAGGTTCGGTCATTGAGTTCAGGCACCGGTAATCAACGCACATTCTTACCGTACTGACTTTCTTCATGACGCACACCACCGGGTGACTGAACACACTATCGACTGGATAGATGAGACCCCACTCCAGCAACTGGTCTATTTGTCGATCCACCTCTGCTCTGAGCTTCATCGAAATCTTGTACGTATACGTCCGCCTGGGCTCTGTCCGCGCAACGATCCCGATCTTGTGCGAACCCACCTTACACTGTCCTGGCTTATCAGAAAACACGCCACTAAATTCATCCCGCAAGCTGGTTAGGTCTTTGTGTTGCTTCTCAGTCAGGCGTGCCGCACAATTAATTTGAGGCTCATCATTGGCCCCGCCGGACTCTCGCGCAGGGACGTACTCCAGTGTGCCGAACGCATCGTCAGCGTCAAAGACAAGGCCCACTGCATTCCCCCTAACGTAGTACCGCCTTATTTCGTTCGCGTGTACAAGCCGCTTCCTTCCATCCGGCAGCTTCACAACATAACTGTGCTCTCTGACCCGCGGCTCGAGCTTTATCGGACCGATCCACTTTTCTTTTAACTTACCGCTAGAGTCCTTCTCTAGGATCAGCGCTAGGTCTCTTACTGCAATGGACTTGTCCCTGGCTCTCAAGTTGTTCCGTGCCGCGTAACCCTTGCTGGTTTACCACGGTATTATCCTGCGCCAGATCAGCAGATTCTTTCATTCTTTTTCTAAGCTGCAGGAGGTACGACTCAGTGGACGTGTTAAGTCCCACGGGAGCCGCCCATTCTCCGGTCCAGTGCTTACTCAGTAGGGTGAGTGGATCGCTTGGACTTCTGCCGAACATCATTTCGAACGGTGACACGCCTGTCGTTTCATTGGGTACCTCATGATACGAACACAATAGACATGAAACGTACTTGTCCCATTGCCCTTTGGGATCCTGAATTACATGACGCAGCATGGCCTTGAAAGTCCCATTCCACCTCTCAACTAGACCGTTGCCCTGTGGGTGATTTGGAGTCGAGAACCGCATCTCCACCCCCAGCCGCTCTGTTAGCAGTCGTGTCAGCTTCACCACGAAGTTTGTGCCCTGATCCGAGCAGAATAGTTATGGCGTTCCGAATCAGGCGAGCACACCCACCAATGCTTCACAAGTTGCTTGCGCCGTCAATGATTTCAGACAGACTACCTCGGCCCACCTCGTACACAGGTCGACTATGCACAGCGCGTACCGGTGGCCCCTTGCCGAAGGAAAGTAAAGCAGCCCGATACAATCTATGAAGATTGTTTGAAATGGGTAGCTCAGGCCGCGAGAGCGGTGCGATCGGCACTCTATCCAGTACATTTGCCCTCGACTATACTTGGCACGCATGACACGACTGGCAGTGTTTATGAGATCTTGAGCCATCGTTGGCCAAAAGAACGCGCACTTTATTCTCTTCTTGGTCTTCTTCTGCGAAAAGTGCCCTTCCCACGGAGAGGCATGCGCCAGCTCGGGCAACTTTTCGCGCTTGGACGTCGGCAACACCACCTGCTCACAGGGTCGGCCATCAACGTCATCTTTGTGACACAGGAGACCCTCGCGCACAACCATGCCGTGTGTCCCGTTCTCAGCCCCCTTCAGGGCATCACTGAGTGATTCGTCGTGGAGCTGCTCTCTGCGGAATTCTGTTACGCTTGTACCCTCTCCTGCATCAGCCGGACTCGTCACGAACTGCACCTCGGCCTGAATTTCGTTCTCCTCAAAGTCTACTGGCTCACCCCCGTGCCCCTCGGGCAGGTCGGGGCCCAGATCACCGGCTTCAGCTCCAAACTCGTCCTGAGGAGTTCATCGTACACGTCGGGTGTTATGAGCGCGTCAATTCCCTCAGCCAGCTCCATTGTTACCGGGCACAAGGATATAACCTGTGGTCCGGTGTCGCACTCGTCACAGTCGGCCCGCAGCGGCACGTACATCAAGTCAGCTGTTATTGACTGACTGAAGGCTGCGCGGAGAACAATGGGTCCCGAAGTTTCAAGGCTCCCCCTTTGGATCACACTCCGCCTGATAACCGTGATATCCGCCCCCGAATCCAACCTCCCTTGGAATTTGTTATGCTCGAATACCAACGGGACCAATTGGACTCGTGACCCAATAGGAGTGTTTGTCGCGATGTCCCTCTCGTTTGCCACCACCCTCCGCATCTGTTCCCTCCGATTGCGCCCTACACCAGTAGCGGTACCGCCTTTAGGGACCTTATCTTTAGGCTTCCCCAGGTAACACGAAAACATTACAATAATGTTATTTTTATGTTTGTCCCAAACGTTCGAGGAATGTTCTTAATGTCCGCCTGTATAAAGCTATTTGAACGTTTGGCAGAACATTCTTATAACGTTTTGATAAACGTTATTTGAACACTTGGAAAACAATTTTGCAATGTAAACACAATGTCTGGAAAACATTAGCATAACATTACTGTAAACATTGTAATAACATTTGTACAACATAAATAAATCCTTTAATCAGCGTTATTACAACAGAAATATAATGTTTACAAAACATTAAAATAATGTTCTGGTAAATGTTATAGTAACATTCGTAAAACATGTTATTACTACACTATAGCCGGTGACAGGTCAAGAATCAAGTAGAAGCTCCTCCCACCTCTTTCCACTTGAGCAGAGCAAACACTGGAGTGGAGCTCGCTTCCTCTCCAGCGTTCGCTTTACTAAAGAGGAAAGAGGTGGGAGGAGCTTTTACTTGGTTCTTGACCTGTCACCGACTACAGCAAAATGTATGCAAAATGTTCGGAGGAGTGTTCTGAATCATGAAGACAAATATATACTGTAAAAGTCTGGTTCAGACAGTTGTGTTTGAATGCATTGCCAGGGCTGTTGCCGAGAGACGGTGAATTACCATGGCAACACCTGTCACGTACGGTAACTCGGTCATCTTACCAAGGTGCAAGCCCTGCAACACAGTCAAATTATTGTTTGAAGTAGCCTTAGTTCAGATGTGCCCGACACACAGTATATATTTGCCTTAATGGTTCAGAACTGTTCCTCCAAACTTTGCAGACATTTCACCAAGGCAGTAACATTCTCTCCTTTTTCACAAGCATTAACGTTCCTTGAAACAGTATATGGTGAGCCAAAACTATTCTACACAGCAATGATATGACACCCTATTATTGAGTATTGTTTACTCAGAAGATGCTTTGCGATGAGTACAAAAATGTGAGGCACGACCATTATTAAGCCTTTTCAAGACAGCAGATTAACTTAAACATTTCAATCTTCCTCACCAGTGAAAAGACTAAATAAAACAGACATGCATGGTATGTCTCCATGGCTCTAAACAGTCCCCCTGAACATTTTTCCATTAAAGCATTTGCATTGCTCGCTGCGCTTTTTGCTGGTGAAGTCGTGAAAAAAATCAACAAAGCCACTGTAGCGTGCGGCCTTGGACTACATCTGTGTGTCATGCCAGTGGCGTAGGAAACTACCCCCTCCAAGTACTGGCAGATTGCGAGATTAGCAACTATCAACACCCAGTTATATGACCTGCACTGCTGCCGTACTGACAGTCATTTGCCTAAAGTGGCGCACTGTACACTGACATTGAAATGTTTTGTCAGCTGAACAGACAACGCGCTTTTCAAGAACTTTATTTGCAACGATGCATGCTTTTGGTTAAATATGGTTGTCGTGATGTGAATTAAAGCTTATTGTGCTTCACTGGAACTGTAGCGAAAACAAAAGGGAAAGACATTCTGTTGCGTTCTGCAATTCCAAGTACACACGATCAGCTTATTCGATACAGATAACCAGCCTTATCGAGATGCAGTGTAGAGAGTGCCACTCTAGGCGTATGGTCGTTAGTATGATAGCAGGGCAGCAGAGCAGGTCATCTAAACGGATGCTGACAGCAGCTATAATTTCACAGCTAGCTGCGGCAGCCATCGATACTAGTTCTTTTCGCTGCCGTCATGAAGTGTGCGAGTATCTCGAGGCCGCAGGCTCCGGTGGCTTTGTTGAATCTTTTCACGTCTGTACGTATATGTCAGAAAAGGATTCTACTCCAAGTGGCATTTTAATTTATGATTATTGTAATATGTTTGCACTCTTCATCCAAAGTTTCAAGTGAGATCTAAGCAGAGAATGATAAACAAGCAAACAAAAGTTGATCTATGTTTATCATTCTCCCAAACTTGTCAAATCTGTTTGGCCATATACTGGTTGTCCCAGTAATTGAACAGAAAGTGTTTGTGAGAGGCATAATTTAAAATATTGAACACTAACCATCACAAAGCTTCTGTGTGACAATAGCTGCAAGCATGAATATAAGAAGACACCTGTTCAGAATATAAACAGCTGTGTGCGCCTCACTATCCAGGAGAAGAATCATAGAAATTAATTTAGTCAGCTTAGCCATAATGCCACTCGACACACAACTAAGTGAAGAAAAAAGTGTTCCTTTGTTAAAAAGTATGGGGTATGACTGTCACCAGATTTAGCACAGCACAAACAAGCATCCATACAGGTGATTAATCACAGTCTACCCCTGCTGTGAAAAGAAAACAGTTTGGTAAATGTTTATGGACACATTTATTGACTCTCCAAATTTGAACCCTATGGAAGTGTACATGAGTAGCAACAATAATATTGCTTGACTATGCAGTTAAAATTATTTTTCTTCTGAACAAAAATAAGAAAAGAAATAAATAAGAGCGAACATTTATGAGGAAACAAATGTCGCTTTCGAAAAAGCTTCAAGGCCTGTAAATGAGGTTCATGAAGCTCACATAATTAAAGAAAGGCGCGAGAAAACTCTACAGCGTTTCTCTACCGCAAAAATAAACTAGACATCACAGCGAGCTCAAACACTGACGTAATGAAACCTTGGCATTTGGAGTAGGGTGCAAAAGTTTTACACAATATAGCATGGATCGAAAAATAATAAAGAAAAACTCAATTTCTCTATGAGCTGATGTCTATCTTAAGCCTGATTTGCGGTACATAAAAAATAGCACCGGGAATGCATGAAGCACTTATTTTGGTGGAAAAAGCTTGCCATAATGAAAGAAAGCATGATTATATCTTTCCTGCTCCCAAACTTTCTCATTGAAATGAATGCCATAAGAACTAAAATATCATCTTACAGTTTGCAGTAAACTCTGTTCATATAAAAATTGTTTCTCTTTATTATTCTTTTATTAAATGTTCTCAAAATTTCCCATCATACTCCAATTGTAAGGGCGTTTCAGAGCTCTACGCATTCTCATGCCGAGCAGCTATAAACGTTTGAGTTGCAAAGGTGAAAAATAGAGGCATAAAAAGCTTAAAAACCTGTCTGGGACAAATGATTAAGAAAAGGCTTTAAAACAAATGTCCACACCCGATGACTAGATGAAAACAAGATGTAATAAAAAACATTGCCATACTGAGCAGGTGGAAAATACTAATGAATTGAAAATAATGTGTTTTTACAGGATAAAATAAAAATAAACACCAAATCTCATCTTCCCGGAGCTGAGATTCACCAGCACTTCCTGCTTAGGACTTCTTTGCCTGCAAATAAAACAACACAATACTAAATGCAAAACACCTAAACTTGTAAAAAAAAGTGCTATAAAGGAAGCATAGCTGCCTCCCTGAACTTGCTTCGCTTAGTTCAATATTCAGCCCTTTGTCAAAGATTTGCAGGTGTGCTACTCAATACGATGGAGATATAATGTGGGCAGTTGTCGACTAATTGCGAACATTTTTGTTGAAAAAGTAGTGAGAGTTGCACCTGTTGTCAAACAAGGTTCTTGAAAAGTTCTCCTACCCTCCTTGTCATTGTGCATACCTGTGCGGACTGACGTTTCCAGCTTTTGTAAAAGTCAAAACAAACAAACAGTCGTGTCTCCATGTGGGACCAGGCCTCTCACAAACATTTGTCAAAATGTTTGTGAGAACATGGAACTTCACGAAACATTTTCAAAATCGCAAGGAAAGTGTTGGGCACATCGTTGCACTGATGACCTTGTGCATTTTTTGTCCTAGAAGCATGTTCGGTACAAATTGTCCTTTTTAGTGTGCAAACCAGACAAAGCTGTGTTCATTATTGAGTATAGGAAAGATAATGTGTGTTCATTATTGAGTATAGAAAGATAATAAAGAAAAGAGAGGAGTCGCAGAACTATCTTCAATGGCAGAGGTGGGGTCGCAAGGCGATCCCTGGAGGTCGCGGGATTCACTTGGCTTGCTTACGGGGGCATTATTGTTTCCCAAAGGGGGTCGTGTGTGGAGTTTCTGAGGGATCACGCTAATGCATATCCCAATTCCAAACCAAGGAAAACGCGTTCTACATACCTGCAAGTTCAGACTTGCCCCAGTACCTCGCACCCCGCCACCGCTTGGCCTTTCTACTCTTTTGGTGAGAGATGAAACCTATCACGTTTTCCATGTAGTGTGGGTACTAATGCTACTGCATTAAAAATACGCCAGATAGTGACCTGTGCTCACCATTCAGTGTGCCGAGAAGGGGGTGGGAGTTAACGGGGTTGCCGTACAACATTCATAACTGTTGGGGGTTGCAGGCCTGAAAAGTTTGCTCACCACTGTTCTAAGGGCTCGTACCTGAAATTTGCACACCTCAGTGCTAATTTTCGGAACATAAGGATCTTGGTTCAATCCCACTCAATGGCATCTGATATTTCTTTCTATAATCCAAATGTCTATGGAGGCCTTATTTTGCTCGTGCTTTATTTCACAAGCCAGTAGATGTGACCCTCCGTGGTCATGTGACCATGTGTAACAAATGTGATGGTCAGGAGTTATTTCAATGAAATTCGGCTGATAAAACACATTTTGTGTTAATAAGGTTGTTGCTTACCTTGGCATTTGTGAGTCGCACATTAGCAAAACGTAGCCATTCGCCAATGGCATGGCCCATCTCGTCATCAGTGGCACGGCTGAAGTTAACACGCACAGCAGCTGGAATCAATGTGTATAGTTGTCATAGGAACTGCATGGAGCTTCAAAGATTGCAAGCTAAGAAACACAAATGCTCTTATGCCCTTACCAAAAATGAGAGGAGTGATGTTCAGTTTCCTAGCTTTTTTCTTCCCTTTTCGCCCAGTCCAGTTGTACAAGATGGCAACCTCATCATTCACGAGCTTCTTAAAAACTGCCTTTGTTGCGAGGGCTACATTTCCTCCTCCCATTTGGCCCAAGTTCCTCACCTGGATATGAGAAATTATCCACATGTTACAAACATATATCAAAGCTTCTGTTGTTTTTTTTAATCTAAAAGATGTAATAATGTGGATTGTATTATCACACACATGAGCTATAAAACCACAGTGCACAACAGTTGAACTTACAAGCATTGCAAAAATGGCCTCATTCTTCAAACTGGCCTCCAAAAGAGCAAGTTCCTCATCTGTCCCCACCGGGTAGACTGGCATGTCTTGTGGCCGGACCGGTTCAGTCATGGCAGCAGGAGCATCACCATTCACCTTCCTCTCTATTCTACTCAAGGTCAGAGCCTGGCTTGTCAGCTGTACCTTAATATGTTCGAGTTCCCTGAGAACTGTAAGCAAGACTAATAATAAAAAAAAGTGCACCAGATTAGAGCATTGCCGAGAAAAAGCTCCTAAAAATTTTCATAGCAATGATGACAACCAATACAGATTATTGGCAACAAAATGGTTCCTCGACACTAAAAACGGACAGAACCTAAGTTTATTGCTCATGTCATTCAGCCTACATGCCGGCGGGGCGACGAAAGGTGCTCGTCAACCAATCGCAACCCACCTTTTCTAAAGAGCAGATGCGGCATCGGCAGCCCTCTCTGAGAACAGCTTACAATTGGCTGACGAGCACCTTTTTATAACCCAGCCGGCACCTCGGCTGAATTATATGAGCAGACTTTTCCACTCAGAAAGGGGTGTGTTGCAAGCTTCAAACACATTTTAGTAGAGAAACAGACGGCGCACGACTGTAGTTTGTGAATTCTTAATATGCCTAGAGCCCAGAAAATGAGTTATCATACAGGCGACACAAGAAACCTCTTTTGTGCCCCTTTAAAAAAAATGCTAATGAGGTCATCAATAAGTAGAATATTTACATTAACTGTTTTATAGATAGAAAAACAAATTTCTGAGATGAGAGAAGGCAGGAACATAAAAGAGCGACATCTGTTTTGAGGCCAAATTGTGGGTGTCCCGTTTAAAACAAATGTCTCCCTCACCTTTTCCCATCTCTGTGTTTCAGGATCATCACATTTCACCAAGCTGCCTTTTATGTTCCTGAACAACAGGCAAAAATTCCTTACCATTTTTGCAAGGTTGAGGAGTGCAGTTTGAAGAAGATGTGGTTTCTGCTCTTCCGGTTTTACACACCACGTTGCCATCTAAAAAACCATGGCCCACAAGCAAAGTTTTAGCTATTTTAAGGATGAGCAGTTATGCTGGAAATGTGCTGCACTAATCTGTATCATCTCTTTTTTTTTTTTTTTCATCTATGCTCAATCTTATGACTGAGCACAAATATAAGATTTATTTCACTCAAGCAAAATAATCATATAAGAAAAAACCCAAATATTTAGAAAGGCCTCCTTTCGTTTTTATCAGCCCATGCACTTAGTTTTTATTCATCCCTGCTGTTGTAAACAATACAAACAAGGCAGTAAGCAGGCCAGTCACACTGATGCCTGTACTTTTAGCAGTTATATTTCATGTGTAAAATTCCATTATTGTTGCTAAAGTGCCAGCAAATTTTTCTTTCAGTGATATATTAATGACTCAGCAATAATAAAAGCAATAGCATCATACTAGCAATGGGTCTTTTCTTGAGTTGCTTGGGCATGTGCCGCATTAACAGACGGATGTCCGCCAAGCGATGTGGCACGCTTGTGCAGCATAATCAGCAGTCCGTAGTACTCTTAAGTCATGATGAATATTTCCTTTAGCTGTCCGATGCAGTCACATTGTAGCATTAATCATGGGCATGGCCGGACTGGGTACGTTTTCTCTCTTACGGCCTATGCAATGCGGCATAAAGCCACCTACGAGTACCTCTGGAGTCACAGGATGGAATAGTGTGGAAGTGCCACAGCGCGGTGACGTGGTTAGTAGGATTTGATCAACGGAAATAAGTACAATGCCCGCTCCTCAAATTGGACCGTGTTTTGTTGAACAGTTGATAACTACAAGCTTCAACCATGCTTTAATATGCACAATCAAACTTGTAGTTCACTAGAGGTAACCAGTAGTCACAATCACAAACTCCGAGACAAATCTGAAGTCACTGTATCCTGAGGAATTAACGAAAAGGTGGCCAGTTCGGCCCCTTGAATATAATATCCCACCAGCCCGAGCGAGCGGGTCAGCGATGGCTTAGGCGGCATTGCAAAATAATATAGTTGTGAATAAAAAGGCACGAAGATTGATATACTCGTAGTTTGAGAGATTTGCGAATATAAGCAAAGTTAAGAGAAAGTGCATGTGCAAGCCCAAAGATGCTTTACCGATAAGGAATGCTTTCAACGCACTGACAGGTCACTGTGATCTTCTGGATGCTTACTCAGAAGGACACTCTCAAGATTGTGATGTCACAACTAGAAGCATACAGCTTGTGAGCCTGCACAGGTGGAACTGTAGAAGGGCATAAGGTTGCCCTTATGCCCTTCCATGCAAAACAGCAAGCATTTTTTCTTAGAAGGCCGTACGAAAGGTGGAAATCCAGTCCGGCCGTGTCATGAGTTATCAAAACAATCACTAGGCAGCTGGTATATGGTATATGGCTTAAACATTCGCAAAAAAAGGCCCCTTAAGAGGGACTTGAAAGGATGCCCTCAAGCCCCATAGAGGAAGCCGACATGTTGCAAAAGAACTGCAGCATAGACTATACAGTAGTCAATGAAGGGTAATACAGAGAAAAAGAAAGAAAGGATGGGAAGAAAGCAGATATTGCTAGAGGAGGAGGAGAAAGCCTCTTCTCCCCTACAGCATTGTCTGCTTTCTTCTACCCATCCTTTGTTTTCTTCGCTCTATGTTCAATTAGCCTGTCACTGACATTACGGTTTAGCGTTTTTGGTTTGATCCGATAAACCTGGATGAAAGCATGCAGTTTATTTTTGGGATTGTGGTTTCAAGCAAAAAGGTCAGCATTTAGAGCACAATGGAACATGCATCTACATCAGCATGTATACTTGCCACAGTCTTTCTCTCGGGCTCCGATAGACTGGGATCCACTGTTTCTTGGGAGAGGTGCCTGTGGGGGCTCATCAAGAAATTCCATGTGATCACTCGGAGTTGGTTCTTCGGTTGTTGGGTCTTCGTCACTGCTGCTTTCTGTCAAATAGTCATCCAGCGGCCTTGGAGGTCGCCGGGTACGTTTTACATTTGCCTCAGGTTCTGATGTGACGTCAGATCTCTCTTCAGCCCTTATTGCTCTCTTACGGGCAACTTCATAACTGTCTGCAAGAGGTGGAGCATTATCAGTGCATCGCCATACATTTAATGAGATGTCATGTAGCCAAGCATATGCTGTTGTACTGTTATAATGAGTTCCGTGTTTTTGGTATATACTGATAAACACCGAAAAATAACGCCCACTATAAACACCAAAAATAACCCTCGAGGCTAGCCCCAATTTGGGGGTTTTTGGTAAAAACCGAAAAACCCGAAATTGAGGCTAGCCTCGAGGGACAAAAATCCCAGTTTCACAGCATAAACAACTTCATCCGTGTTTAACCCGGACGCCTACCATACTCAACGTGTCCTCGAGGCTGCTTCTTTCTCCGGGAATTGCTTCTATGTGCACCATTTACTAAATAAAACAGATAACGGCTAGGAACGGCACTGATTGGCATTCGATTTTATGGCATTACGCCCAATTGACCCCGATTTCTAGTCGACAAAAATAGCACAGAAACACACCCAATTCGGGAGAAAAAAATAAACACAGAAAAATCGCCCTGAAATTTGAAAATAAATACTAAAAATACGGAACTCTATTTATGTACCAAGTGTCTACTACTGCAGTGCCACACAAATGGGCAGTGGTATCGCTGCAGTGCTGATGCCACGATAATAAAAAGTAGAATCACAAGCACCTTAGATACTAATCAACAACCAACAGAAAACTTCTATGTTATGAAAGATTGCAGACTATAATTCCGACTGGAGAAAAGCCCTCAGAATTGGGAAACATGTCAAAAGATTCCCAGGTGGTCTAAACTAGTCTTCAGTCCATCGCTGGGGTACCCATTTTGGTTAGGCGTGTGAACCTCCAAATTGACATGTACTGTAGAATCAAAAAAGACAATAGCATGAAGCTCAGAGCAGCTTACCTGTGGATGACAACACTCTGCAGGTGAATTGTTCCCAGTCGTAGTCAGGCTTCATTCGGCCTTTTATTGCAGCGGTAACTCTTGTTGAGCTCTTGAAAGGGGGCCAGAAAGTCTTCCCATCCTGAACCCAGTCTGATGCGATTACGGATATGTCGTCAGACACCATGAAGTGGGCCACTGAGAACATCACCTAAAAATTAAAATTAAGACCATTAGTGACGAGCATACCTACTTTTTTTGTAGAATAGAAAATATAAAACTAAGGGACCTAGTTTTTGCTGATTTATAAATTTGATGAAAATCGCAAAAAGTTAATCTCCGGTGAATAACTCACCCCGTATAAATAAATAATGTAAACACCTTAATTTTCGCAAATTCCGCGATCGGGCTCCATTGCAAGAAATCGATTGTGGGAATAGGTTACCCCACAGGTGCAAATACACGTCATCACACCCATTCACAAAATGTTGTTCCCGCGAAATAACCCTGAATTTGACAATTCACAAAATTTTGTGCCCACAAAAATGAAGTAATTTACAGTATATAGAATGCCATTCCAGGCACCCCCTGTCGCAGAATTTTATTCTTGCAAAATATTCCTGAAAATGGTGCTTGACGAAATTCGTGAAATTTTGAGCACGAAAAAATAAAGTTGCGTATAGTATGCACAAATGCGTAAATAGGATTTGGGAAAACTAAAGCATTCCTCATATACGAGTAAACAGTAAAGTCCAACCACATTCTAATTGAAAATCCCAATATCACTTTAGTAATTCTGCAGACACTGTGACCTTTTACAGTATAGAACTGCTAATGCTTCTCAGCATTTTTTTTTCTTCAAATTTCACACCAGATGTCCATAATTGTACTGTTACCATCACTCCTTATCCACGGGGTGTCTACCGAAATCCTTTGATATTCACCGACTTCCAGGTTTTCACCCGCTCTTGATAAAATTCCCTGGCCGGTCCTTCCACCGAAAGGGTACTCCCCGGAGCAGCGATTGCTCCGACGAGCCAATAGTCACTATGCTTGTCATGCTAGAATGCCGTTACATGCGGCACTTCCCGTTTAATCGAGTGGTGGCTTCAACTGCCTAGGCACATTTCAAGCACTACCATTCAGCATCTCGTGACCGTCGGCTTCAATGCATACCGCTGTTACTTGCACTTGTCATTGCTATAGTCGAAGACTTTTCCAGATAATCCAAAATCTGACAATTCAAGGATTTTCAGGTTGGTACAAACTTATTCATCTCAACTTTCCAGCCACAAAAAAGTTCTTGGGCACTATTTAGAAGTTGGCACACAGCAAATATCATACTCCACGCCACTTTGAACAGATGTTTTATGTTTATTCACACCATTTAAATATTGAAAATTTTGCAAGGACTCCCTAGTGTGGGTTTTCATACCTTACGTCAGCTATCCAGTTTGCAAGAGTGGAGTAACCACAAAACCACTTCCACAGGGAAATCAGCAACACTTTGACTTAATCTGCTTCACATTCCACAAAGCACTTGCAGATGACAGTCGAGAGGCTTTGTAAATACATAGTCGATCTATGTGAGCAATGCTAGTATAGAAGTTTGCCAGTTGCTTAAAGAACTGTCCACAAATCTTGACCTCTCCTCCATCCAACACAACATTTCTTGCCACAACCACATTCCCATCTTCCATTAGAAGGCATGAATCACATGTGTTAATTTCCACAACCATGCTGGGGAGGACCAGTTTGCGAAATTGTTTTCCTTTGAACCCTGGAGGCGTGGGTCCTGAATCATGCGGGTTCTGTAGCGGTTCCTGCTGGTTTGATGGTGCTCTAAAGGACTTGCCAGACTGAGTGCGTTCATACAGGCGCTTCACGACCTGCTGCAGTGGGAGGTTGGGCGACTTCAACTCTCGCTTTAGTTGGCCCAAAAAGTTTTTGAACCGGAATGCAGAGAAAGAGTCAAGGTGCCCAAACTTCTGCACATCTGCAGGAAGGTGCACCAAAGAATGTACATTATAAACATAGATACCCTCACCATACAGATCTTCGGCATCAAGGACAAACTCTCTGAGCAGCTTTTCTGCAAGCGCCAGCTCCACTTGGCAGTCTTGGGCTTGCTAGAATGGAGACTGCGACGCTAAGTTTGAGGAAGTGTTCGTAGTAGCGCTTCTCCATCTGATTTTTTAGAACAAATGGGCCAAAGTATAAGAGGAAGTTCCGTAACTCAGTGGCCTTCCATCTCTCCGATTCGTCGAGACCTCGGGGCTTCCGAGCCATCTCCTGGGGGGTGTGCTTCCGCAGTCTTACGAGCATTGTTGAGATGTCAGTTTGCGTACGTTGTGGAAGCTTGGATCTATGAGGTCGTCCTCGCATCCAGTACTGGAGGAGAAGCTTCCGCATGGCCCCTAAGCACACTAAATGCATATAGTCCAGCGGAAATTGGCTCACCATGCCTATCTTTAGCTTGACTAAAGGAGACAGCCCATGGTGATGCTCTTCTTGATCTTGGTTCAGGAATGCCTCGTCAGTTCGCAAGGGTGTGCTGACATCTGGAAGGATTACTTTCCTGCAGCTTTCGGAGAAAGCTCCCTCTTGGGTGCATTTTTCACAGCTGAAGTATCCTCCGTGGCCTTTGATGCACTTCAAGAACGCCCTTGCTGGTGCATCGCAAATAAATGCATGCACATGTACTGCACACTTGACAACCCTCAGTAATACCCTCTCTCAGTAAGGTCCTCATCTCCAAAATGAGGTCTGCTAGATAGTCATCTAGGCTTTCTGGCTTCTTGACTCCCTCAAATAGAGCTATCACAAATGGTTCAGGACTGCAGCATTCAACTACAGATGCCAGAATAGGCCAAAACTGCTTACTTGAGCTTTTTGATATGGGCAGACCATCTATGTTGAAGAGCAGTGAAATGGTATTCCCAGTGATCCTGCCTGAGCTCATCATTTCTCTTAGGGCCGGTTCAATCCCAAAGTAGTGATATAGACCGGATGACCCCATCTTTTTCACATCACAGGACCTCGGAGTCCCCATTAGGGTTCTTGCGTCACAAGGCAGCTCGGGGTGGTGTTTCTTTAAGATTTTTAGAATTTTGCTGAGATGAGATGCACAGACTTTGGTGTCATGCGCCCATGTCGCTAGCTCGCTTGCCAAGCTCAAAGGACTTTCACTCGAGCTGGACGACCGGGTTTCAGTACCACTCGACTCTGAATCTGTGTCGACGCAAAGTTCACTGAAACCGTCGGGTAGCACTGTGTCTAAAACCTCTTTCGCTCCGTTGTCGCTATCGTCTGCTCTGTCGAGCATCACATCCCTATCCGCCGCCGCAGAAGCCGGGTTCGGAAAAATGTCCGCAAGATGTTCGTGCACGGTCTCGGCAATTCTTCTTCTTTTCTGCCGGTTGCACAGACGATGCAATGGTTTTCTACGCCTCTTCATTTTCTCCCGTCTTGTTACTTTTCAAACAAAGAGAACAACAGGATACCAGCTTAAGTTAGATTGTTTTCAAGAAAATAAGCCCGTGAACAAAGTGGTTATCAACAATGTGGTTACTTACGGTTCTCGAGTCCCGCCGTCCAGGAGCTGCTTGGTTGTCTCTGTAGTTGTCCGCTTTACGAGCCAGCAGTCACTACTGTGGACGCTGCTGGACGTAGCTTAACCGAAAGCAAACGTATACTCAAAGTTCAAACCAGTTTTGGTCGAACGAATCGAACCGGCGAAACCAGCGGCGGCAGTGGCGGGAACAATTTCCTTACGCGCAGTGTTGCCAGATGGAGAAAAAAAAAGTCACCAGATTGATCCCCAAAAACCCAGTAGATTTGCACAAAAATCAGTAGATTCCACGAAATATGTGTTTTGCCATGTTTTGCTATCTCCATTAATACACACTTCAAAGAAATAGTATAGAGTAACAAATAACACGGTAATAAACACAACTAAAAATGAAAGAAAAAAACAAGACCAGTTCTCAAGTAACTTTATATGAAGGACAAATTAAAATGACACCATAAATGTTTTTGTTTTAGTCATTATTGACTGTTTCGAGGATTATTCTTAGAATCGAGACTGAGCGACGTTCACCTGTCGCTATTATTGAAACAAAACCGAAACAAGACGCTCCGGCAAGTGCGCACGAACATGTCCAATGGAAGTCCTCTGCATGCTGCCATCTTTCCTCACTGGGCTGTGGAAGGTTTTTGAAGCAACGCTGTTGGTCCGGAGCACTGTTGAGGCTACGCGTTGTCTGCTACGGGCTTATTTCTTTTTCGCCTGACCCAAAGTTTGCGTTCAAACGTGGCGAAACTTCATTCGTTAGCTTTTTAAGCCACCGAGGAATAGGATTATATCATTTTCTTGCCACAGCCTGCCAAATAAAAGAAAATAACTGAAATTTGGATGTCGATCCCATGCATTCCGCCGAACGAATGAATGAAAATTGCGGCTCTCTCCGCTCAACTCGAAGCTATTCTAGTAGAGTGTATAGGAGCAGCCGAGAGTTCAGGCGCATGCGCAAACACCTCTCGCTCTGCGCCACGGGCTGATTCGCTCACTCGGGAGAGGGACGTTACGGCGAGATCATAGACTAGTCAAACTCTCTCCATATATGGCTCTGGCCCGGATGTCACCGTCGAACCTGCCGAACCTGCTCTGGGTGAATAGATAGATGAATATACGACTACGTCACTCGAATAGGACGGGCTTCTTGGCCATCTAGCCAGTGCTTCGTTTTTAATTCTGGGACATTATGAGTTTCCTTTGATGGGCGGCACTGGGAACTAAAAGGGCCATATAATAAATTTTTAATATGTTTACTAAAAAAAAAAAGTCAGTAGATTTTCTTGTGTTTCAGTGAATCAGTAGACCCGGAACGAAATCAGTAGATCTACTGATAAATCAGTAGACCTGGCAACACTGCTTACGCGGGAACGCGGGAAGGAACGCGGATGGATGGAGATGCATATTTGTTCCCTTTTTATAGGGTGGTAGCTTGCGCCACCTAGCCTTAAATAAATTAATTGAGAAAAAAAATTGTTTTTCTTCTTTTCGTTTTTTTTTTCTGTATTGAATCTTCTCTCTTTACCTCTCTGCAACTATCACTGGGCAGGTAGAGTTAAAACCCCTTCGTGTTCTAAAGGTAGCGCAATTGGTGCGTCGATGCACGAGGCACATATAACGTGCAGCCCCTGAGAAGATCGTGGCGGCGTAGCGCAGCATTGAGCAAGATTTCAGACGCCATGTTCTTCCCAGAAGTGGTACGCGGTGCGTATCTTTGTCTCGAGCATTTCCACAATAATAAATGGCGCCACTTTTCCCAGGATAGAGGGGCTTTAAGTAGAGTACGTACCTTCCAGAAAAACCTTTAAAAAATCGGGCGAAAAAAAAAGTAAGGAAATCGGCGAACAGCATTGCCAGAGTGTTATATTTTAAACATTATTTTATTGTTTTACAAATAAAGTTGCATTAATGTTTCAATATTAACGCGGCATTAACGTTTGAAATAAATGTTTCATTTTTAACATTATTTTATTGTTCTACAAATACAGTTGCATTAACGTTTTATTATTAACACAGAAATAACGTTAGTAAAAAATGTTCCAAAATCATTATGTGAATGTTCTATTTTTAACGTTATTTGACAGTTACATATGTGACATTACATTAACGTTTCATTATTAACACAGAAATGACGTTAGTAAGAATCGTTACAAAATCATTATTTGAATGTTTTATTTTTAACATTATTTTATTGTTCTACAAATACAGTTGCATTAACGTTTTATTATTAACAGAAAAATAATGTTGGTAAAAAATGTTTCAAAATCATTATCTGAATGTTCTATTTTTAACGTTATTTGACAGTTACATATGTGACATTACATTAATGTTTCATTATTAACACCGAAATAACGTTAGTAATAATCGTTACAAAATCATTATTTGAATGTTCCACTTTCAACATTAATTGACAGTTACATACGTAATGTTACATTAACGTTATATACACAACATATAACATTATATGTTTTACTGGAACGTTATACTAATGTTTCAAACATAACTAAAACATAATATGTTTAACTTGAACGTTACATTAATGTTCAGGTATAACACATAACGTTATTTAAACTTACGCAACAATAAAACAACGTTACTACAATGTTTGGTGCTACCTGGGTCGTGCAGTTGGCCCAAATGTGCCCAACTTTCCACATCCGAAGCAGCTTCTTTTCTCTGTACCTGAAGCCGCGCCTTCATCTTTCAGACTCGATTTATTCCCCTCGCAATTTGGGAAAGGTGGCTCCTGTTTAGCCCTCGATTCCTTCTGTGTTCGTTTATAGTTTGCCGCAAGTTTGGCCACTTCTACGGGCGGTAATCATTTCCCTTTTTCGCTCAGGTCGACATATGCTCTCGTGTCTCGGTGCATCGCGCGTTTTAGCTGATCAGCTATCAGCAGCTGCCTTAGCATCTCCAGAGATGTCACCTCGCTACTTTTCAAATAATATCCAAGAAAGACGCCCAGCCGAGATGCAAACTGTCCCCAAGACTCCTTTTCGTCCTTTCTAGTTTTGTAAAACAGCTCCCGATACTCCGCTGGAGCAAACTGAAGCTCTTCAAGCATCGCTCCTTTTAAGTCGTCGCACGACGGCATCGCGTCAGCAGGGATTCGGTTTGCGACCGATCTCATTCTCTCCATGAGGAAGGGGAGGATCATTGCGCCCCTGATGCTTTCCGGCACGTGAAGGCTGTTGAACACACTTTTCACCCCGCAAACCACGAGGGCACCAGCGGTTCGGACTCTGGCATGTTGGACAATACGCCCCTTACAATCCGCGAGTACCTAAGTACCTCGTCCCCCTCCGTTCGGGCAGCGCTGGCTCCCGACGTGGTGTCCTGCGCCCTGGCAAGTCTAGCCACTTCCAGCTCTAATTTCAGCTTTTCGATCTCCATCTTCATTAGTTCCTTTCTGAGCTGCAAAGCTTTACTGTCCATATCGGACTCCCCTTCTGCTCCCAATTCACTACTGCTTTTAGATGACTGGCCTTTCTTGGCGTTTGCTCGTGTACCCAACATGACACCCAGAAAAAAAAAACAAAGGGACCTCCCACTTGTTTGTCGTGTCCGCCACGATTACGGGCCGCTGTTTGTCTCGGATAGCTGCACCAGGCTTGGCAGCTGCTGACTTGCGGCACTGTGCAGATCAGATGTTTTGAGGAGCAGCTTCTGCAGCAATCACCAGCTGCTTTCCCGTCACACCTGCGGCGACGGTCGAACGTCTCTTTTCCGGCGAGCTCCCACAGCTTCTCGTCGCACCTGCGGCGACAACTGGACAGTCGACGCTCTCCGATGGTCTCGTTGACCTTGCGTCGCGGTTCCACGACGATTGGATGGCTTGTTTCCGTATCCGTAGAGATCTTCCAGCTCCCTGTCGCACAGCCGACGACAGGCGGAAACCCAGCACTCTCCGACGATCTCGTTGGCCTTCTTCGCAACCCTGGCGACGGCCTGATGTCTTGTGTCCGGCGAGCTCTTGCGGCTCCTGATCATACCTCCGGTGACTGCCGGCCACTCCACGTCGTCTGGTGTTCTTGAACGCACGCCGCACTGACGGCGACGGTCGGACGTTGAGGTGTCTGCTCCCAAGGAGCTCCTGCGGCCCACTGTCACACTTTCGGCGACAGTCAGACACTCGACGTCCCTCTAGGGTCGCAGCTTCACTTCGTCACTCCAGCGGTGACGAGTCCCAGTCATTCGTCATCTTCACCTGCAAAGCTCTCGATGTCCCTTATGATGAAGACAGCTTTCTCATCCGAAGGGTGGTGGCGGAATCCTTGCCGACTGCGCCAGTTAATTTTCTCTCCTCTTTCTCTCTCTCTCTCTCTGGTGTCGTTGAGAAAGGTTGTGGTTCTTGTTGGGTTGCCGCCGATGTGATGATGGCAACCCTAATTCCGCCTTGGTCAACGGAGATGTAGTGGCAGAGGGACACCCAGGTGAAGGTTACGAATTGATATATGTGATTTATTTACATACATCATATATCATATATCACACAGGACGAGGACAGCGCCTCGTCCTATGTGTTCTCTCCTTCTTGTTCGTGTCTTATTCGCGCTGTTATTCAAAATGGTTACATATATAGTTACGGGCTGGTTTACAGATCTTAGGAGCTACGCGACACCTCTCGGAGTCCTGGTGGCGTCTTGCCCCCTCCGATGCTCAGCGTAGACTGCCTTCCTCTTTCCCGCGCGCCCCCAAAATTCCAGGAATCGACCTCACTTTCCTGGGCATCTGGCCAACATCGCTTGTCACCTCGCCGGGTCGCTCCGCATCTCCTGCCGAGTCGTTCCGACCCGGCGCTGCTTATCGCCCACTCCCCACATTTCCAACCCCGGTGCTCGAGATTCGGGTTTCTTCGGAATTCGTTCACTGCCGTCGCGTCCGGGACTCGTGAACATTGCGGGCTCCCTGTTTTCTTTTAAACCCGTCACAGAAAAAAAAAAAAATATATATATATATATATATATATATATACAGAACACAGTTTCCCCTAAAGTCCTGGGACCTAACAGTAAGGTTGATTAAAACCGAGCTAGATATTTTCACACCACGTGCGACGCGATGACAGACGAAATAGTATTGTGGTCGCTTGTTTACAACACGAGTGGGGTGTTTAACTCGCATTCGTGGG